TGTATAGCAACCGTCAATGGCAGGTCCGACTAAACCCCTCACCTTATTAAAAAGGGGGTTGTCGACACACTTAGCCATCGGTCCTCCACCTGACATAAGAATATTATTTATTCGTAACTATACACAAAAGTATAGCATATTTAAGTGTACATATAAAGAAAACTACTGACCAGTACCCATGACATTTTTTATTATAATTCTTTCTTCCGCTTCCGACTCCTTGATAATTGCCGAGAAAGCTTCCTGGCAAGCGTCCACCGGTGCACCTGTATTGCTGGCAACTTTCTCCCAACCATCAGGAGACGTACCGTACTCCTCCACGTTTTCAACTACAGTAGTCTTATCAACTAAAAAAATTTAGATAATAGCATTACAGTAAAAAGAAATTCCAAAGTGCTTGATATTCATACTCGGAATACTCATTTTTGCAGAAGATGCGTTTTTTTTAGTCTTTTTTTTTAAGTTTTTATAATTTTGTTGCAAACTTTCCATGGTGCGGCAGTATCCTGTGGAAATCGAATTGAATTCCCGCGTCACGTCTATCCACGCCTTTTGCTTTGCTAAAAGGCTGGTGCCATCGGTTTTTTTTATTTTCTAGGATATGCTTATACTTTTCAATGCAATCGCACAAAAGCAAGCTCTCGCTAGTAGCAAAGTTAGGAGCCCGAACGCGTTTAGTTTGAGATTCCATGACCAAAACAAGATAGTTTTAACGAGTTGAAACTGCAGTAAAATAACTACGAAAAAATTCAATTCAATATAATGTAAAATGATGTGTGGTTTTGCATACCTGTAAGAATGCAATTATCACTTTGTAAATCCAATGGTGAACAATTAAGCACATACATATATTTAATTAGAAGTAATAATTTTTTTTTGCATTCTATTCTGTTATTGAATGAATATTTGTTGAGCTTTTGGCAATATTATTTTTATTTCAAACATCAAAAAAATTTCAGTATTCAAAACAAACGACAAAAACGGTTTGTGATGCCAACGAAATTAAAAATTGCCCGACAGTAACTTCGTTTACTTAACTCTGTGTCGATTTTGTTAGCTGCAAGACATTGTCTGAGTTAAATAAATAAAAGTTTAACTCTGAGCTACTTATTTCTCTATTTATATATTTAACTCTGGATGTTCTGCAAGTGGGCCTAAGAGTTTCATTTAAATTATCTCGTGTAGATGTATGTGTATCATGTTGTGGTAAACGAAACATTTTGATTATTTGAATTTGAGCAAATATCAAAAGACCTCAGAAAAAGGAAGTTTACAATTAAAAAATTAAATATTATATATGTAATATTTAATAAATAACAATTAAACTCTGTATTTAATTATTTTCAACAAAACTAGCGCTAAAGTTATACAATACAGCTCACCAGTAAAACTAAGATTGTTGTTGATGTTAGCACTACTGCTGCGGTCGCTGCTGATGCCGCTACTGCTGCGGGTGACTTCGATGCTCTAGCCTCGTTGCCTGTGTCCGCTTCTTCGTCTTCTTCCTCCTGCAGCAGCAATGGCAGTGATGTTGGAGATGTTTTGTTTCGTTCTGTTAATGCGCTACTACCAGCTGGAACTTCTCCTATTACGCTCAAAGAGGAGCATTGAGCACCGCTCAAACTTTCCGGTTGCTGTTCTTGATCTTGAGAACGCTGCTGCTGCTGCTGGTTATGTGGTTGTTGTTGACTGGTTGATGCAATATCAGCACTTAAAATAGCTTCTCCAGTGACTGCTTCTAATGCAGATGCATCAATGATATCGGCAATTGTGCTAGTGTCGTTGAATGCGCATTGGTGCGTTTGAAGCTGTTGCTGTTGTGATTGCTGATCTTCAACAAAAGACAATGGGGATATTGCTTTCTGATGTTGCGGCTGCTGTGATTCAAGTGGTGGTGATAACGGTGGTTGTAGTAGTACGTGTTGGAATATGCCAGCTGCTCGCAATGGTGCTACTCTTTTTCACTGCTGGCTATTGCGACGCATTGCACTTCAACATTTTGGTGTAACATCTCATCATCTGTGGACTAGTACCGCGGAGCAACAAACCAAGTGTACAAAATCAATATTATTTCAAAGAAGAAAAAATTCTGAAGTAATCAAAAATTTTCTTTTTGATTTACATAAATTGAAAAAGAACTTAATTCAATAATTTCAAAAATAACAAAGTACAAAAATGAACAAAGTACAATAGTAAATAGTATTAATACTACAGGCTCGTTCCAAAGTCAGTTCTCCAAATCTATGAGAATAAAATGGGGCATTATTTAGGGCAGTGTCTACTACCCACTTCCGCCAGAGGGCGTGTGCCTGATCTCGTACGCCTATGACTATTCATTTTTGGCTTCGATTTATGTTTCAAGATGGATGGTTATCACCTACACCTTTCCTCTTAATCACTGCACGGAAACGAAACCAAGGGCGACCTTTTTACCAAATGGACGAAGGAGAACCAGCCGAACGAAGCCATAAAAGTCGATAACACCAAGAAAATTTTAGCTTGTTCTGTTGGTATTTTATTATAAATATCAACAAAAAACAGAGGAAAACAAGATTATTTAAATAGAAATTATGAGTTTTTTGTACAAATAAAAATTAAAGATTGGTAAACAAAAATAACACAATCACAGGTTTTTAAACTTATTTTTTTACCGCATGACTTACATGTAAACTTAGGTTAAGTTGGTTTCACATCAATGCACATACATGTAAAAACATTGAAAAACATATAAAACATATAAAAAACACAAAAAAACGTTAAATACATTGAAAAACATAAAGTATTGCTACCAACCATCCGTGGTAATTTCGTCAAACTAAACTAAACTATTCGCTACAAACATAACATGTAAGCAGCCGCGATATCGTCCGTGTCCTCCTTCTTGTTGATTGTTTTTTCCCTTTTCTCTAAGCTTGTTCTCTTTCTCGGCCAACAAAACCGCAATCGTTAACAAATTGTAGGGCCGCAGCAATGGCTTCAAATCGGGCCTTAATTGTATGCAGTTGACGAAGCTTCTGATGTCGCCGGAGAAGCATGTACAAAGTGATGCCCAAATGCTCATAATTTACGACATCATGCATAATATCACGCTGAGCAAGCAGCTTCTGTTGGGATACTAACGTAAGTACCAACTCTGCAGGCACTGGCTTGAGCCGAACCTCCGCCCAGGCGTGTCACATGCCCCCTTAGAGATGTTAAAAGGATGACTATGATTTGAGAAACTGAAATTCCATTTTGATCATTTTTATTGGCACACCCGATTTTAAATTTTTTTTTTTTTAAAAAAAATTTTTTGTAAAAAAAAACAATTTTTTGTAAAAAAAAAAACAATTTTTTGTAGTTGATTTTTTATTTAAATTTTTTAGAGACTTATGCCGAACTAGGCATTGAAATGACGAAAAATGTGTGCGATTTAAAAAATTCTATGTGGAAACGAGTTTAATGACAAATTTTCTTAACGTAATGGCAAAGGTATTTTGAATGCCCAACTTTGTCATTTAATGCCTAGTGGAAATCCGGCATTATGTTCCGCTTTTCACGTACCACTTACTCACCTTAAACTCATCCTGCCATGGAAATTCTATAGCATGCACATATCGTATATGCCCAAGCAGCATTTGACTATCGCTAAACCAATCAACATTCACCCAAGAAGAATCGACCTGTCGCAGCCTTTGTATAGCGCCATATTGGGGAGGCTTGACAATTTCATACCGAATATCGATATTTTCATCTGCCGTATTTGTGCCAACCGAGAGATTCGCCGGAGTGATGGGCAAAGCTGACTTGTGTATCATAATCAAGCCCGTATTATTGACCAAACGCAGTTCCAGTGGATGCACCGATACAGGCAGGTAAACAGTATCGCTCGTTTCGATGCCATCCGAGACATGCAACAATATTTGGTAGCTAAAGGCCTCCGTGGTTGTTGAGTTGTAAAGAAAGTCTACTTTGCCCAAATTGACATCCGCTTGCGAGAAAGTCATAGTGCCAATGCCATTGACAAGGAAACGGCCAAAAGCTTCGGCGGGATTCGTGGATGGCAGTATTGTATAGATTAAAGCGCTCGTTGGGCTATCAGGGTCATCAATATTGAACAAATCCACATCCAGTACACGCTCGATGCCTTCGATGACGCGTAAAATCTTGTTGATCGGTATCTGCAGCTGTGGCGGATCATTGATGGGCGTTACATTGGCGTGCAAAAGGAAGCGATGTTTGCCGAGAATATTGTCCGGTACTTTGTGTATGTCTCCATACACCTGCATATCTAGAGTGGCATGATCGTTGAAGTTCTCCATGCCATTGTGCGCATATTTCACTTTGTCTGTCGAGAGATCAACAAGGCTAAATGTGCGACATGGCACAAAATTATTTTTGTCCACTGAGAATTGCAGCAGTTGGCCATATTTGGGCTGCTGAACGACGTGGAACACAACGGAAGTATCGGTCAGGCTGGGATATTTACGCATATCAATAAGCACATCAATGAAGTGTGGCGACAAGAAGACAATGCCGCCTTCGAGCAGTTGCATGGGTGAAACGTAGAGCAACTCCAGCTCCGGACTTGTTTCGGTGAAGATCTGTGTGGGGAATGTGAGCTTAAGGTAGAGAAATTATTTTGTACTACACTTGCCAGGCTTACTTTGAATGGACCTTGATAGTCGGCCTTAATGCAATACGACTGATCGCAATAGCAGATGAATTCGTCCACGCCATATTGACTGCAGATGCCGCTCTTCAAGCATGGCTTATGCTCTACGCAAGGATATTTCCAAACACAATTAACGGACAGGTGATGTGAGACCTTCATTTGTGGAAAGCCCAAATCTTGATTATTCACCTGCAGACCACGCATGTAGCCTTTGAAGCTGAGATCGTTCACAAGCAATCCCTTATTCAGCAGACGCCTGCGCATATCCTCCTGCACGCCACCAAAGAAGATGCTCTTCTCCAAGTTGATGGTGACTTTGGTGTCATTGGCATGCGTGCCGCTGTAGGCGACATCGTCGAGTATCAGCTCAGCCATAGCGGCATTATAGCGCAGCACGATGCGATGCCACTTGCCATCCGCAACGCTTTGATTGGGCGACAGTTGCACCAGACTGCCCGCCTTATTAAAGGTCAACTTGACAGCTTCTTCTTCGATTTCCAAAAGCACAAAATCATAGCCACCATTAAAGAAGAGCACACCAGCCTCTTCCATGGTGCGAAACTGCATTGCTAGCCTACGAAAAGAAAATACGCATATGGAATACTCATAATGAAATAGTATTTGCAAAAAAATCCGAACTTCCACTTACGATTCGCCCACTGCGTTAGACTCTTTTGACATCAACGCAAATGAGTCTTCATTGAGAAAGCTAATCGCATCCTTGACGTTGCCATCGAATTCATTACTACACGACCAAGTCACACCAATGCTGGTTGTGTGGCCTGTACGCTCCTTGGCGCGTTTTATGATATTGATATTGTTGTAAAATACCTGCGGAATTGAAATAATCCATTAATCGTAGTGCCGCTAACTATGTAGCCAACGACGCTATGCACTCACATCTGATATGCAGCCGCGAAAGCCCACCACATCCGTCAAATACTCAGCGGGAAAGTCGCCCACACCGCCGAGGAATGTGCCAAAGTGTACATTCAATGCCGTCATTTCGGCCGGCAGTGTCTTGCGCACTATATTGCCATCCACCTGCAGCGTTATATTATTTTCATAGCGTTGCACAGTCACATCGTGCCACTCTAAATCGTTCAAATGCTGCTTCTTTGGCGAACGGAGCTGCAGAAATGAGACTCATTTGAAATAGTAGGAACGCAAGGGCACAGCAAATTCATATGCGCTAATCAACTAGCCAACTTACCTGTATGACTTCGCGATCAATTTTATACGTAAATGCAATGGCGGCGCCTTCTAGCCGCATGAGGCAGTAATCGGTGCGCCCGGCGGCGAGAAAGAGAAATGCATTCTCTTGTTGTGTACGAAATTTGACGCGAATGTTTGTGGACATTTTGGACTCCTGCAGGGGCATCGTTATGTAGCCATCGCCAAAGAGTGAAACTAAAGTGTGAAAAAGAAATAGAGGTCATTAAAAATATGCATACAAGTTAGTGCTGCTCAGAAAGAATTGTACAAGACTGATTCATAGTATTAAAAAATTGGAAAAGGCGCAGTAAAATAAATATTAACAAGTAAGAGCAGCGCTGTCTTCGGCTATGCCGAAGGCTTCATACCTTTCATGAACATCTGCAAATTTTACTTTGACAGATTACTGCTTTTGAATACATCTGCATACATCGATAGAGGAGTTACATACTTATATAAAAAATCGCATCTAAACAATCAGAGGTATGGAAGATATACTTTATATGGCACCAATCTAAGTGATTTTCACTGCTATGTGATCGGTATGTAAACTGGTAACACAATTTATTGGGTTTAGTTTCCTACATAAAGAAGATATATCGCAAAAACTGGTATCTGAACAATCAGTGGTATAGGAGATAAAGCTTATACAGCATAGATTTTGACGATTTTCTCAGTAGACTTTGTATTATTATTTATAAAATATCTTACGAAATTTATCGGTTTTAGCTGTTCAAATAAAGGAGTTTTACAGTAAAATCCCATATCTGAACAATCAGATGTATGGAGATACATATATGTTATAGTCACCCGATCCTTGTTATTTTCACTGTAAGTATTCCGTTGATAATGAGCAAAAATGGTGCGAAATTTCATGTTCCTAGCTGCATAAATGGAGGAGTTATGATAGAAGACCTCATATCTGAACAATCAGTTGTATGGGGGCTACAGGTTATAGTGGCCCGATGTTTGTTATTTTCACTGTAAGTCTTCTGTTGATAATGAGTGAAAACAGCGCGAAATTTCATGGTCCTAGCTACATAAATGGATGAATTATAACGAAAAATCTCATATCTGAACAATCAGTTGTATGGGAGCTATAGGTTATAGTTACCCGATCTTTTTAATTTTCACCGTAAGTTTTCTGTTAATAATTATTGAAAACAGTGCGGAATTTCATGTTCCTGGCTATATAAATGGAGGAGTTATAACGAAAAATTTTATATCTGAACAATCAGTTGTATGGGAGCTATAGGTTATAGTGACCCGATCTTTGTAATTTTCACTGTAAGTATTCTGTTGATAATGGGTGCAAGTACTACAAAATTTCATGTTCGTAGCTGCATAAATGCAGAAGTTATAACGAAAAATCTCATATCTGAACAATCAGTTGTATGGGAGCTATATGTTATAGTGGTCCGATTCTTCCGGTTCCGACAAATGATTAATACATTATAAAAATACACCCACCTACCAAATTTGATCCGGATATCTCGAAAACTGAGAGACTAGATTGCATACAAACAGACAGACAGACGGACAGACGGACAGACGGACATGGCTAAATCAATTCAGCTCGACGTTCTGATCATATAAGTATACATTTTAATGGGTCTATCTCTTTTTGTTCTGGTACTTACAAACATCGGACCAAAGTTATAATACCATTTCATGCTCATGAAAGGTATAAAAATTAGAGAGATATGGAAATAGATTGTTCGATTAACTTATTTCCTTAAACTCATGAATATTTCGAAGAAATGTGTATAGTTCAGAAAAAGTTAAAATAAGTAATTTCGGGATTTCTGAGTTTAAAAGAGTACGGCTACTAGATAACTTACATTCCCGGAAAATACTCTTATTTCCATATGTATAATTTGATAAAATGTTGACATCACTGCAGTTATAGGCTAGATATATTCTGGAATGCACCAGCTGTTAATTTGTGAAAACTGCACCGACTATTACTTAAATTTCTGGCTTCAGAAAATTTTTTGTTATTAAACTAAGAAGCATGCAAAGGCCAGGGCATGAACGAGTAACGGGTGCGGATCCAAGCCGACAGAAGCGCTAAACGCCGACCTCAAACTGATTCTTATAAACTTTCACCTTATATAAGCGGCTATCAAAAGTGCGGCCAGTCTCAGAGAGTCAGTTAAAATAGAGCTGACTAGAGAGTTCAAACATGGGTCGGTCGGTATGGCAGCCAATCTGGACTTCAACTGTAGCGTTCAAGTGCGATTCCCATCTATGGCTGCATTTCTTTATTCATTCTGAACGTTTGGAATAAACTTTTTTGTTTACTTATTCTTTAGAATGTTCCTGATGATATGTTAACGTATATTTCAAACGCATTCTGTTTATTCCGGCTGTGAAATGGGATTATCCGGAATGTATAAAGTAACGCAGTCTATATATAAAATCTTAGGTAATATTTAGAGTCGGGTACAAAAATAAAGAATCGGCATATTCTCATAGCCAGGCGACAGTATTACGAATAACATCGCCGGTTACCAAACCTAAGCTGGTTAAGAAGTCCAAAATGGAAATATCTGCGAATAAGGCTCAAGATCAGCATCTCAGTTAATGATCGTCTTCTTTTCGGGACCTGACGAATTGGCTAAGGCAGAAGCCTGCCTGGGATAATACGAAGCGGTGGCACTTTGTTTGCCTCTTGTCTTGCAACTCTTGGTAGCAATGAACGCGGTATTACGATGCTGGGTAACAGGCCACTGTAAGATCGCAGGTAATAAGGCCGCCGTCGATGACTTTTTGGTTATGCTTTTGCTAAGAAAGATATAAATCTCTTGAACATTCGATGCTCTTAAGGTCAGGAATTCGTCTACCAAGAAACTTGGACCGTCAGGGTTAGGAACCATCATAGGGATACAAATGATCTTCTAGGTCGCGGTGCCCCTTGTTTAAGTTGCACGAGTACAAGTTACATTACATCACAGCAGTTCTTGACACTATATGTTTCCACAGTCGCGTTGACTCCTTCATGAGTTATAAATCAAATGCAAAATTATGTCCTACGGAACAGCCTAATGCTCATGGGCAAAAATATAATTACGGACGGATTTGAATAAAAATTCGCTTCTTAGTAAAACTGAGGACGCTAAATTGAAAAAGGCATTTTTTTTTAGAAAGCTTGCATACTTTCACTGTAAATGCAGATTGAATTTAAAATTTGGGTTTGTGTGGCATTTACATAGGGCCAGGGCTTGGCCTGCAGACGTGCAATAAAGTTTTTTTTTGAAACCGGAAAATTATTTAATAAGCTAAATGCATTAGATTTGACAATATGGGTGTCAAAATGAAATGAAATGAAAATGCTTTATTCTAAATGACAGAAGGGTTGCCACATATTTGAAAAATTTAATTCTCTTTAATTAAGGGAATAAGGAAACTGATATATGTATGTATATCAATATGGGTATCAGACAAAAGAAAAAATTTGACATATTAATTAAGAAATAAGTGAAGAGTAAAAAAATTCGTGTGTTAGTTTAAGAGTCCAGTAATTTAAAAGGAATGTAAACAGAACAAATCACTGAATTGCAATGTATGTATGTGGCAACCCTCTTCGTAATATTTTCATGCTAAAACCTTCTAAAATGTCTTTCGTCTGACTCCCATATGGTGATACCTATCTATTTTAATTGCCTTATTCTTTTAATTTAAAAGGAATTTAATTTTTTAAACAGGTGACAACCCTATACATGTAGTTAATAAATACAAATATTTCATCCATATCTCGATTGATACCCACCACTTCATAATTTTGTTAACTTTTTAAAAAATTTGAATTCAATTTTTTAACAGGTGGCAACTTTCAAAAAAAATAAACCTCTATTGTCTACATGTAAACTTTTTTAATTTGTTACTTCATTTTTGAAAATAGAACGAATCTTACAGATTGGATGGCACTGACAAGAAATGAAAAAAATTATTTTATGCATTAGCAAAAAACGCATTACTTCGAAAAGTGCACACAAATGACCAGATCGAAAGCTAATAACCCGAACTATTTAATAAAATAATAAAAAGTTACATATCTTTACATTTATCTTTTATTCATTCCATTAAAATTTACAATTTTTTGAAATTTTGATAAAAAAAATTGTTTTCCTGGATCACCGCAGGGATACCCTGTGTTTAATTTTATTCCAAAATTTTTATTCCTGTAGTTCTCTACTATCTATGCATATGGAAATAAAAAACGTGAAACCAACATTTTATTTCAAAGAATGTATTTTTGACATTTGTTTCCGTGAAGAGCTTATGAGAGAGAAAATTCTGTAGAACTTAAAAACAATAAAGGTTTTTGGTTTACAAGATAGAATAAGTATTGAAAATGCGATTTTAATAAATTTTATCTTTTTAAGTTAATAAAGTGTGTAGGACGAAATTCGATGGTGAGGTCGTACGTATATTATTACTCAAACAATCATTTTTTCAAAAAAAAAGAAAATATCTATGTATTGCAAATTTTTAAGGATATTTAAGCACATAATTTGTAAAGGAAATTTTCGATACCCATTCGGCCTTATACAACAAAAAATTTATTTTTTTATAATTCTACTGAATTTTTTCTTTTTTATAATACCCTTATTGTTATCCTACATTGCACCGAATTTTTTACAATATTTTTTTTTTTTTAATAATTAATACAATTTTTTGAAATAATCATATTTTTTGAATTTCAAAGTCCTTTGAAAAAAAAAAAACAAATCCTGACGACAGAAAGAAAAACTAAGTACGCAGTTTTACTAAAATTTACCCATAGTT